CTACCAGAAGTAGTTCCTTCCGTTGGTTGAGTGTTTTTAATTTTCAAAGATTATCCTTTTCATGTTCAGGTACAAGACTGAGCAAATAGTGGGTGCCTAGTAAGTGTCTGAACTGTGTAGCACGTCCCGCCTCTCATGGCCCTCTGTCAATTCATTGTCATAGCCTGTGACATATGGGCAGGAAGGACCTTCTCGTGAGGCCACCAGAGAGGATGGGTACAAGGACACACGAAGAATTAGAGCAGAGCCGAGTCCTCCTGGCTCTTCTGCTTCATTCATTCATCACTAAATAAGCAGGGGTTTGCTGAGTGTCTACTCGGAGAACAGGCACTACAGGGATTAAGGGTACAGACTGGATAAAGTGGGGTGCCAGAGTGGTCCACTGCTCTTGGGCAGTGGACAAATGCAGAGCCCCTAAGGCAGGACAACAGTGTGACGAGGTGCCAGGCTCTGGGCACAGCTGGCTGGGGTTCAGATCCTGGTTTGGGGGCTGGAAGAGGAAAGTCAGATATCTAAGGCAGGTTGGGCTTTGTGTGACCTTGGGCGAGTTATTTCACGTCTCTATCAATTGAAGGTAATGGGTTATAGTGAAATTAAAATGATGATTACATGTTCCTAGAACAAGTGCCTGGAATGTAGTGGTGCTCAGCAGACGTTAGTCCCATACCTACTGAGCTAAACCTCCGGTGTCCCGCAGAAGGGCTGTCTCCTGGAAAGTGTCCCCTGCTCAGGCCCAGCGCTTCGTCAAGGAGCATGGGCCTGATCCCTGGGGTGGGCTGACACTCCCTCTCTCAGGGCAGATCTGGACCCCTCCAGAGCTCGCTAATGGGAAGTGTCCCCTCCCTTCCCAGTTGCAGTTCAGCCCCTTTGGTCACCCTAATGCATTCAAGGAGCTGGCTGCCAGCGGTGCCAGCCCTGCCTGCCCAGCTGCCACCTGCTCTGTGCCTTTCGCTTCTCAGCTGGGGGAGAGGCCCCTCCTCAGGCAGAGCCAGCGCCCACTCCGTGTAGCTGAGCCTTCCCCGGGAGCCTGCCTGGACAGAAAGGCCGGACCTCAGCTTGCTTTTGTAGCCACAAGCCTCTTGATCTCTAGAGCAGTGAGAAAAGCCTCACTGCAGGAGGCAAAGCCTCCCTGGTCATTCCGGGTCCCTCTCAAGGATGTCATTGTGCCTAAGCCAGGCCCAGGTATGACCCCAAACGTGCTACCCTGAGCAGTGTGAGGGACACCAAGGGCTTCCGAGACTGGTTGTGACCCTCGTCTTTCATCTCCAGAGATGCAGCTCAGATGAGCCTTGGGTCTAGGACTAGGGGCGGGGGCAGAGGGTGGGCCACAGGTGTGTGGGTGGCCCTCTGCCTGGCTCCAAAGTCCCAGAGGTAGAGGCTAGACAGAGCCTTCTCAGCTCTAACCTTCCCAGACTAGGCAGCCCCGCCTCTGCCATCCACACATGGCAGACCGAGGGCAGGCGTCAGCGACGGCGAGGGGAACGAGGCTCTGCCCACTCAGGGATGCTGCCTCGGGGTCCCTGCGGTGGGGCGGGCTGCCGGAGGAGATCTCTGAGACCTCCAGACATCACCCCCCGTACTAGTCAGGGTTCTCTAGAGAAACACAACCAGCAGAATATAGATAGGTACCTAGAAAGAATTTATTATAAGGTGTTGGCTCCTGAGATCATGGAGGCTGAGAAGTCCCACGATCTGCCATCTGCACTCTGGAGAACCGGGAAAGCCTGTGGTGTAGTTCAACCCAAAGACCTGAGAACCAGGACAGCCACTGACGGGCATAAATCCCAATCTGAGTCCAAAGGCCTAAAAACTGGGGGCCACAGGTGTAAAGTCCCGTTCCGAGTCCCAAAGCCCAAGAATCAGGAGCACCGGGGTCTGAGGGCGGGAGAAGATGGATGTCCTAGTTCACGCAGAGAGTTAGTCCTCTCTTCCTCCACCTTTTTGTTCTGTTTGGGCCTTCAACAGACCGGAGGATGCCCGCCTGCACTGGGGAGGGTGGTCTTCTTTACTCAGTCTTCCAGAAACACCCTCACAGACACACCCAGAAATAATGCCTTACCAGCTATCTGGGCAAACCTTAGCCCAGTCAAGCTGATACCTAAAATGACCCATCACAGGCCCACTTCAGCTTCCATGGCCCCAGCAGCCCTGACCCCGAACACTGCACACAGGGGCAAGTTTCCAAAAGGCTCTCAGGAACTGCCTCCAAGGGTAGAGGCTTCTTACAGTTCTGAGACACTTGGGGGCTGTAATTAGACTCGGACCTAAATTGGTTTGATGCCACCTTTTTTTAAAAAAGAAGAATAACAATTCTGAACAGGTCAAAAAATTGGGGGTAAGAAAATCAAGAGCGGGGAGAGTCCCTTCCCCACCCTCTGTGGCAGTTACCCAGGTTGCCCTGCCAAGCTGTGGGCAGCTCATGAGAGACTGGGCCCGCAGTTTCCGAGACCCCTCAAGCTGATGCAGTGCGCGTCTGTGCTGCTTACGCTGCTTAGTGCTTCAGACACCTGCTCCCTCGTGCCTCAGCACCCGCGGGGCTCTCCGAAGCAGCCCAGGGTGTCTTCATGTCACTAGAGCTTCGAGTGAAGGGAATGTCCTATACTGAGCCTAAGTGTGGACAGTTAATCGTGTAAGTATAGTAGGTAAATAACTCAGTACTAACTAGATTACTGGGTTCACCCAGGTGCCCTGCGTGGTTTGCCATATCTGTCTGTCTGTCCATCTACCCTTCTATCTCACATACTTACGTAATATTTACTGTGGGCCTAGCACTGTTCAAAGCCTTTTTCATGTATTAATTCATTTAAACCATACAACAGCCCTGTAGAGAGAGGGTCTAGCACTGTACTGATTTCACAGGTAAAGAAACTGAGGCAAAGATAAAGAATCAGCTTGCCCAAGGTCACACAGCCAGGAAGTGGCAGAGTCTGAATTTGAACCCCGGGACATCTGGCTCTAGCACCTGTGTCTGTGACTCCCCTACTGTACGGGCTCTCACCACAAGCCTCGGGAGGAGAGGTTCAGAGGGGCCTCTCTCTGCCCTCTGCATGGGACCCACTTCCGGGCTCTGGTCCATGCCCGGGGAATCTGTGTAACCCAGCAGATCTGTGGAAGGCAGCAGATTCCAGGGAGGGAGGGCCACGGGCTGGGTGGGCTGTTAGGAGGCCTTCCCATAGGTAGTGCTGGCATGCTGTGATTTCCAAGCAGGGAAATGAAAACAAACCTAGGGACAGACAATCAAGGACATTGGCTACCCCCCTGTCTGTAACACTGAGTGGTATCTGCAAATAGAGCTGTATCCTCAGAAATGCCCTGTGTCCACCTGCTGCTGCCCATGGAGGCCAGGCTGCTCCTAAGTGGCCCATTATATACCTCGCTGGCAGCCAGGCTGTGAACTGGGATTTGGAGGGGACCTTGGCAGCCAGACCACATTGCTTAGAGAAATACACTAAACAGGAAGCAGATAGCCAGGGAAATTGGACCATGTTCTCATCTAAGAACCAATATCCATTCCAGGGAAGTGGTTTCTGCAAGATTCCACGGGGCAGCTGCCCTCTGCCTGGAATGTTCTCTCCTTCACACACTCCAGACTGGTATCAGTCCACCTGGGCCAAGAATCTTCATCTGGCAACAGTGTTCTGAGAATTGAATAACATCATTTTTGTGGAAAGCAATAAAAACTTTACATAAGTAAAAAAAGAACACATCAATTTAAGGAAAGACGTACATGGAACAAATATTTGGCAGAATTGTCAGGGTGACACTCAGATTCACTCATTCATTTATGCACTCATTAAATATTTATTGAGTGCTCACTGTGTACTGGGCAGTGTTGTGCACACTCTTCTACAATAGAGGCAAAGCCCTACCCTTGTGCAGTTTATGTTCTCAGAGGAAGAGGCAGACAATTTACAAGTAAGTCAACATGTTGGGTAATAATGGATAATATGAAGGTGAACACTACAGGAGAACAAAACAGAATCCAGTGGGTGGGTAGCCTACTTTAGGTAGGGTAACATTTGAGCAAAGATACAAATGAAGTGAGGCAGCAAGACTCGCAAATACATGAGTAAAGAGTGGTTTAGTAAGAGGGAACTGCATGTGCAAAGGCCCTGAGGCAGCAGCATGCTTGGCCTGTTTGAGGAAATGCTGTTGGGCAAAAGCATATTTGGGGAACCCTGGTTAGATGTTGTCCAATGTCTGCTCCAGTACTGGGACCTTGTAATGGTGATCTGGATAGTGAAGTGTCATTTTATGGTTTAAGATGTGACTATCCAAGAACTTGGCTGCAGAGGGGGCCTGGGTTTGCGTGGAGCAGACGGTAGATCTGCTGATGGAACCTTGGCTTCAGGATGTCCCTGAAGATGGAAAAATGGGAGGCAGTCCGGGTCCCCTGCATTATTTATTTGCTTCCTGGGGGGAGAGTCATTATTTACCAATTATTTGCTGAGTGACCAAAAGGTGCCCCTTGGGAGGCTGGACGTAGGGACGAAGAAAAGTCAGATACAGTTCTCACCTGACCAGAGCCCCAGCATGCAGGAGCAAGGGACCTGCCATGGCGCTGGTACCCAGGCATGCGTATGCATGTGCGTGTGTGTGCTCACGCTCACGTGTGTACAGAGGCCCTGGGCGGGGGAGGGGCTCAATTCTCACTGCGGGAACCCTGGGAGGGGCTGTTGGGACCTCTGAGCAGCTTCGTCGTGGGGCTGTAGAAGGGCATGGAGCACAGAGGAGGGGCAGGGCCGGCTGCATAATTGGTAGGGCCCAGCGAGAATTCTCTCTTGTCCAGAAAGCAGGGAAAAGTGCCCGTGAAGGTACGTAGGAGCTATCCCTCCTCTAGCATAAACATGCATTTGACCAGCTGCTTGGGGGACTTCCTCTGTGGCCTGGGGCTTCCTCACTGCCATCCTGGCCCAGCAGAGAGCGGTGGCCGGCAGTTGCTGTGGCCTCTGGACAGCCCCTTTCTCACCCCGCTCTCTCTTCTTCCCTGCGCATGGCAGAGCTCCACCTGGAAGGGAATTTCCTGCACCGCCTCCCCAGTGAGGTCAGTGCCCTGCAGCACCTCAAGGCCATTGACCTGTCCCGGAACCAGTTCCAAGACTTTCCGGAGCAGCTTACCACTCTGCCGGCGCTGGAGACCATCAACCTGGAGGAGAACGAGATCGTGGGTGAGTAGACCTGGCCCCGGCGGCTGCATGAGGCTCGTGCTGGGCCACCGTGGGCCTCAGGCTCTCCCTGTGTTGGTCTCTGTCTGCCGGCCTGGGCTGTCTCCAAGACCCTTCGGCTCTGACCCTCTGCCCCTGCTCCTCCCCGAGTCCCTGCCGTCACAGGAGCTCTTCACCATTGGCAGCAGGGGCCTGGACAAGCGTGTGCCTGCCAGCACGCGCAGGCTCCTCCCTGCCAGCCCAGCCTCCAGGGCTCCACCAGGGAACCAGGGGGTCTGATGGGCACCTTCTACAAACAGCAGACTCCAAGGGGCTGGGTTCCGCTGAGGTCCAGGAGCGGTCCCTCCTTCCTCCCGCACAATTATGTGCCTTTCTGTCTCATCAGGACCTTGGAGGGCTGAGCGGACCTCCAGCTAGCAGTCTAATCTCCCCAGCAAAACCGGGCATTCAGCGGGGTCTCTCCGTGCCCGCTCCTCCTCCAGCGGCCCCTCCCTCCTGAGCGCCCTCCTTCATTCGCCCTGGCCCATTTCACCCTCTCTCACGTTGCCTCTAATGTTGACGCTGTTCTAATGCCAATGATGTTAATAATAGCCCCCTTCAGTTATGCTTTCGTTTTGCAAGCCCTTTCACAGCCATTATGCCATTTGATTAAAAGCAAGAGGCTTCTCATGGGGAATGGCCTGCCTTGTGTGGTGGCGAGTGCCTGTCTTCCGCAGATGCTGCAGACGGACTCGGCCCTGGCTGGGTGGGAGGTAGGACCAGCTGACCTTTGAGGGTCTGGGTCTGTTCTTCAACAGGTGAATAAACTGAGCCCGAAGCACATTACCGGTGAGCATCAGGTTGCACAGTGAGACTGCCCAAGTGCCAGGATGAGAATACGTGAGGGAGGGAGTCCCCTTGCCTGCCTGTGGGCCACCCTGGGGATGGACTCTGGCTCAGTCTTGTGCTCCCAAGACCAGGGTCCCCAAGTGGTGGCTCCCCAGTCACGTGGGCCCCTGCACAGTCTTTAAGAAGAAAGGGCCTGCCCAGAAGTGCCTTTTCACTGTGAGGCTGTCCCTCCTCTGCTACCCTGATCACCCAGCATCTGGCTGCAGAGCCCTCCCTTCCCTGCGTTCCTAGCCAGGCCTTCCTTGCCCAGGTCCTTCCTCTCCTGCTTCTTATTCACTGAGGCCCTTCCTGGTACCTCTGCTTCCTTCTGCTGTTTACCTAACTGGGGCAGTAACCAAGCAAGAGCTACTATGGCCGGTGCCAAGACCAAAGCGGGGCATGTTGCTGGTAGGCAGGTGGGTCAGGAAGGGTGCCGACCTTGGCTTCTGCACTGCCTGACTGCAGCTCCCTGAGCCTTGGCTTCCCCATCTTTCACATGGAAGGCATCCTCCAACCCCAGAAGGTGGTCAGAGATGAGAAGAAGGTCGCTTTTCCCAGCCAGGGGAGCAGACTGAGTGAACATCGCTGCTGGCTGCAGTCCAAGAAGTGACTTTCACCGAAGCAGGCAGCACAGGGTAGCCCAGGTCCCTTAACACTTCCCCTCCCACAAGGCTGACAATATCCCTCAGTGGCAACAGCCCCAAACTGAAGATCTGCTGTTTGGGTTCATGCTGCCTTTCTGCAGAGTGACAGTGATGACTCTTCACACCTGACACATGTGACCCCTTATCTACAGGGTGATCGTCCCCATTCGGCATATGTAGAAACTGAGGCTCTAAGCCTTACCTGGCCAGGTAAAAGAGACAGCAGCAACTAGGCCGTGTTTCCCAGTCAGTTCGGCCCGTGACATAGCCCCTGCTGCCCAGCCTCCGCCAGGCCTGGCGATGTGGAGATGCCAGGGGCTGTCCCTGTCCAGGAGAGGATCCTGGTTTCCCCCAAGTGGCCAGCTGCTGCTCCCAGAGGAACTCAACTAATGGCAGGGCTCTCTCCACTGGGGAGGCCTTGGTCCTCTCCCGGCCCCCCAGCTGGCAAGAAGGGGTGCATGGAGGCAGCCACTATCCCCGTGCTGGAGTCACCCTGCTCCCATTTTCTACCTCTCCCTGGTCCATTCTAGTTACTTGGTGGCCTGTCAACTCCCAGGCCAGCAGGAGGGCAGGCCGCAGCCTTCACACCACAGGGCGCGCTGGCGCAGCGAGGGGCCGCTCAGCCCTTCGTCATGGAAATAGCTTTGTGCTGTTCGCTGCTGGTGGCTGATCCCTGCAGGATCTCACTGGGATAATTGTAGAAGGAGCTTAAACCACCTTCAAAGTGGTTTGTTTTTTCCTGTCAGAACCTTAGAGGGTGCTAGGAAAATAAAACAAAATTCTTATGAGAAAGAAATTTGAGATACATGAGTTGCCTTTAAGCTTTAGTAAGCAGAGAACAGGAGGCTCTGAAACAAGCCCCCAAGTGCATTGGAAGGACACACACCCCAAAGGGACCTCCCCAAAGATACCTGTGGCCCGGCCCCAGGGAGGCCTGGAGGCTCCCAGCATCCTGGCAGCTGCCAGGACCACTTCACTCGTCCTCTGGTTTCCAAATAGTGCTGCCACCTGACCTTCCTCTGCCCTCTGGGCCACCCTGGGGGTGGAGGAGAAGAGGTGGCGCATTCTATGGAGGAGAGAAACTTGGAACCAACAGGGCACATCGGCTGGGAGGGACAGGGACATTCTGTCTGCTTTCTGATGCCAGCCTCTGGGAGGTGGTGCCTATCCTTGGGGCTCACTGGTGGCTGAATACCCTCAGGTATCACATCTGTGGAGCCCGAGGCTGCCCCTGGTATTGCAACCTATGTGTGTGACCCTTCTCTGTCCTCGAGGGTGGTCTCCACATCCTCTTCTCTCTGGAGCCTCCTGCTCCACGCCCCCACTAGCACCTGGCAGTGTCTGGCATACAGCAGGTGCTCAGTTGGTGGGGAGTACTGCTTAGAGCAAGAATTCCAAAGCCTCAAAGCTCCCCTGAAATACCTGAGACACAATAGGGCAGATTGTTTAAAGCTGCAGGTTATGACCAGCTAGTGAATCGTGAAGTCAAATTAGTGGGTTGAGACCAGCAATTTTTTAATAGACTAGAATAGAAAATGTCAGAGCACATCACACATAGCATGATAATTACCGTTGCATGACTTTTAATTTCAGTTTTACTATGTGCGTGCACAGGTATACATACCGGCTCATGATGAAAACTTGTATTTCTTTCTGTATCATGATGAAGAGGTACGGAAAGCCACTCCTGTGAGTTGTCCTGCAGAGATGTGGGGGCCTGTTCTTGGCAGCTCACGCCCCCGCCACATTATACAGCCTTCCTTCCTCATGTCCCCCCCGCCCCCCACCTTGCACGGCCAGCGCTCTTGGTCTGCAAGCCCTTCCCCGTGTCTTCTACTCTCCGCCTGTGGCCAGGCGTCTGAGTCTGCAGCTCTGGGCCCGGTTCAGGTGAACAGGAAGCAGAGCAGGTCCCGGAGCCTCTGCCCTCCCGCAGCCAGCCCCCTGGCAGACACACAGCAGCTTTCTGAGGGGCTTCCTGGATCCTTAGGGACTGGCCTGCCAGACACGGTTGTTTGCTGTGAGTGCCTTCAAGAGGGAGGAAAAGGGGTTGTAGCTTAGAATGTTTGTTCAGACAACAGTCGTTTAACAAGTTTCTGGGACACACGGATGGTTCCTATATTTTCCAAATCAGAAAGTGCTATGTGGAAGTTTTTAAGTATTTGTAAACAAGACTGCCTGGGGAAATGCGGGCTCTGGGGAGGAAGAGGCTACAAAGGTGCGTGAGATGCAGGCCCTGACCTCAAGTTGCTTACAGGTGTTAGCGTAAGCGAATACTACGCTGCTAGACAGCTGGCCACAGCCGGAGGGGAGGTCAGGTGTGATGTGGGCTGACAGAGAGAGGACTGTCAGCTGGAGGGAGGCTGACCGCCTGTCCTAGTGCGATGCGGCTTCCGGGAGGATCCAGGGAGGGTTTCTGAGGAGGTGGAGGAATTTAGTCTGACTGTGAGCAGTGATACAGGGACGTGATGGGCCACCCATCTTGTGAAGATGAGGAAGTCAGCTCGCTCACCCCAGTCGCCGACACACGTGGCTTAAAGGTTGGGGCGGGAACTGCCTTAAGGCCACCACTTGGTCTCAAGCACTCGATGCACTCGATGCTGCACAGCAGGTCGGTCCTGCAACGTGTGGGGCTGAAGAGAAAATCATGTATTTGGGAGTCTTTATTTTGCTAAGCAGGAGACTATTTCAGTTAAGCTAGAGTTTAACTTTTTTTTTTTCCCTATGTGCCTACTGTTCCAGAGAGAGCAAGCGATCATAGGAAAACAAGTCCTTGTTAAGAATTTAATAAACAGAGCAATGGCACTTTTAAAAAGAAAAGTATCTGTGTTATATAGGGATGCTCTGGATGCATTTACTTAATTCCGCCCTTGTCCTGTTCACTTCTCTCTATCCAGGCCTATATTTCTCCAAGTGTGGGCCCAGGACCAGCAGCAGCAGCAACACTGGAGAACTGGTTAGGAATGCACATTCTCAGGCCCCACTCCGGAGTTACTGGAGCCCTCTGAGGGGACAGCAGCAGCCTGTTTTAATAGCCCTCCCCCCAGGCGTTTGGATGCATGCTGAAGTTTGAGAATCTCTGCCTCAGCTCTCAGTTCTCTAAGGATCATCCATAGACCAACAGCATGGGCACCTCGGGGAGCTTGTTAGAAATGCAGGACCTCAGCTGGATGCTGTGGCTCACGCCTGTAATTCTAGCGCTCTGAGAGGCCGAGGTGGGAGAATTGCTTGAGGCCAGGAGTTCAAGACCAGCCTGAGCAAGAGCGAGACCAAAAATAGAAAAATTAGCCAGGCATGGTGGCACTCACCTGTAGTCCTAGCTACTCAGGAGGCTGAGGCTGGAGGATCACTTGAGCCCAGGAGTTGGAGGTTGCAGTGAGCTATGATGATGCCACTGCACTCTACCCAGGGTGACAGAGTGAGACTCTGTCTCAAAAAAAAAAAAAAAAAAACAAAAAAAAAAAACAGGAAAAGAAGAAATGCAGAGCCTCAGGT